AAATAAATGTAATAAAAATAAATAAATATTAAAAAAAATATATACATTGAGTTTCTGCATCTATCACATTAAAGGTATATCGAAGCAAAGCATGATAGCACACATTTGTAACCCTAGCACTCTGAGGGGTTGAGGCAGGAGGATCACAAGCTTAGTGACTTAGGAAGACCCTGTCTCAAAAGGAAAAAAAAGGGCTGGGGAGATAGCTCAGTGGTTTAAGCATGCCTGGCAAGCACAGTGACCCAAGATGGCATTGCGAGACCCTGTATCAAAAGAATAAAAAAAAATACAAAAAAAAAAAAAAAAAAAAAAAGGAAAAATGCGTGGGGCTTGGGGATTGTTGGGAGCTGTTGAAGCTGAAATTGATCATATGCTACCTCAGCCTTGAGAAAAACATCCTGCCTGGACCTTGTGGTTATAAGCTAGGCAACCTTGTGTCTTGCAACTTTGTAAAGGTATAAATAAAGGCCCTTACTGTTGTTCTAGGGGTCATTTTGCCAACCAGGCAGACAAGCCACCACCTAACCCAGCTCTGGTCTTCTTGTCTCTCTTTTCCTCATTTCTGCTGCTGTTTCTCCTGGGTACAACGGGTCACACTGAGAGACCAACAGATCCCTACAGGGGATGTAGTTCAGGGGTTGAAAACCATACTGAAAGAAAAAGAGCTTGATTCTTTCCAGCTTAACTAAGTTGGACACACACACACACACACACACACCACCACCACCACTTCTGGGGCCATGAAAAGGAGAAAAACTTATTCTGTTCCTCCTTGAGTTTCCTCTGTTGTTTGCCAATAAAAATTCTGACTGACCATCACAGTTAGAAATCATTTTTCCCACTTACAGTTAAGATTAATATCACATTTAAAATCAGGTCAGGCCGACCCAGCTCTAGGCTGCCTGGGAGACCATGGAGTCACCACTGCAGACTTATCTTAACAACATTCCAAGCTCCAGGATTCCAAATCTCTTCTTGAACTCAGAAGCATCTACAGACTGTAATGGCCGGTAAATTTCAATTTCTTAGTTGCCCAGGTAACAGTTCCTGTTCCAGTTCCAGTTGCTGCCGTCTCTTAGAAACAACTGGTCACTGTGATGCAGGGCTGCTCACTGTGATTCGCATAGTATAAACCAGTCCCCGGTGGACAAGTCGTTTTGCCTCTGTACTTCCTGCTTGCTTATCTCATAGAAGCCCCTGACCACCAGTGATCAGGGCCTGATCTTTTGGGAATGATCCTGACCAGTGCCCACCAACATAAATACATCTGTCTCCAAATCCTGGGTGTCATTCCAATGTTTCTGCTTGCTCCTGCAAGACAGCTCTACTCTTTACCAGGTGAACTCCTAGCTGGTTGTGAGAGAAGACAGAAGGGAAGAAACTTATCCCTGCCATTTTCAGGAGCTCAAAAAATGTTCACATATAAGTTTAGAAAAATCTTGCTTCAAGCTCTTTATGGAAAGAAGGAAATTAAATTCAGTAATCACAGAAGAAAAAAACTGATTATTGAATTGAGTGAGCCAAATTTAAGATATAACTGACATATATCTAAAGTTCTTTTTTAGTTTTAAAACTGATTTTCAGGCACATCTACTGTCTTGTAAGTTTTTTGGGTTTTTTTTTTTTTTTTAATGTTTTTTAGTACAGGGACTACAGGGTTTTACTACACAGATCAGACTTGTAGTGATCCTCCTGTTTTCAGCCTCCCAGGCACTGGGATTACAGGTGTGCACCACCATGCCCAGTCTCAGGCGCAGTCTCAGTCACAGTCTCAGTGCACTCCAGGGACTGGGCTTGCACAACATGCTGGGGATCGAACACTGGTCCCCATGCCTGTCTAAGCAGGAGCTCTAGTCTGCCGAGCTATTTAGCCCATCTGCCTTGTAAGATTATTGTGCCCTGGTTTTAATTTTTCCTTTAGAATTGAAAAACATAAATTATATACACTTGAACCATATGAATCTCATTTTAGACTTATTTAACTTTATAGTATCAGCATACAACAAACCAGTTTATAATGTTTTCAATGTTATAGATTAATTTTTAAAACTCACAAAAATGCTTGGGCGAACATTGCTTCTTTCCTAGTATCTATGGCCCTTCTTTCTCATTAATAGAGTCCTAATTTGGATTGGGGAAGAGACTTTCCTAAGAAAGAGGGCGAGGAGAAAGTCCCAGAGCCAGAGTACTATTCTGCTAATACATGTAAGGACATCGAAGAGATTATTTCCTGGATAGAAAGCTGTGACAAATATAATTGTCACATTTATTTTTCCCTTTGACTTCCTCCATTTTTCTGCCTACAGCTGCTATCTTGTGACCACCGGACACAAGCCATATACAAACCAAAGGAGGGACGCTATGAAGCCAGGAGGATGAGCCTACTATATATCTCCAGACTTCAAGAGAAAAAAAGAAATTGCTAATCTGTTTGTACCACTATGTGATTTCTTTTTCATGTCACTTAAGTCAGTAATAAAAGCACAAAATACTGTATCTTAAGTGGAAACTGAGTAGTTCCAAACTTTAGGGTCTTTAGATGATCACCTTAACGAGTTTCTGAACATCGCTTTTCACGAGGGTCCTCTCGATGTTAAAGCCATTGCTTGGATCCAGAACAACTGCTTTCACCTGAGAGTAGGAAAAGCAACCATTAGGTCATTTTTCACATCATTATGAACTTCATTTCATATCTTCCTATTTTTAAACTACTTCTGGATTATGCTTAGGTTGAATTTTCAGCTATTTTTCTGATTACCCAATCCATCAATAGAGGTTGAAGAAAGGAAGTAATAAATATTAAACTTGAAAATGATGCTAGAAAAATTTTATGGGAGAGAAAAGGTTGAAAACAATAGTGGAATTTTACTTTGGGAAACTATGATCTATTTTATCATATTTTCATTGTGTATTGTTACCCAAAGCAAGAAAAGACGAGCATGGCAATGAGTAATTTTAACAATGAACAAAAATATACATCAAAGAGATTCCTCTGCAGCACAGCATTATCGATGTTGCTAGATTTCATTAATCACTTCTACCCCAGAATCCTGGGCACAGCGTGCCAGCCACTAAAACCCAGCATGGTGGCACACGCCTGTAATCCCAGCACTGGAGAGGCTCAGACAGGAGGATCACTATGGGTCTGAGCTGTGCAGGGAGACCCTGTAACAAAGAAATAAATAAATAAGCAAATACTTCTAAATCAGTCATTATAAATCTACAGCAGACGTGCTTTGTAGGCTTTTGAAAGGTATTTTCATTAATTTTTTTCACTATCTCAGTGTTTTCAGCCAAAACACATCTAGGCATGCTTTACAGAATTTTAAACATTTCTAATAAAAGAAATAATGTGCACAAACAGTCATTCTTACCATAAAAGCAACCAGCGTTTCAGAAACAATCTCGCCATGGGCTGCACATTCTTGTCCTATTTCCCGTATGATATTCTTTATAACGCTTTCCGCTTGAGTGAGAGGCATTCTGGGTAAATAAAATTTATTGGTATTTACTATTGTATTGATACATTTTTCTCTTTAGATTTTTACATTCATATTTGTGGAGTCATATTATTAACTTATTATTACATCACTATTAGTATTTAGATTCCTGTTTTTTCATTGAGTTTTTAAAAATGAAAAGACAGTATTGAAGGCAGTAAGTGCAATTGGGACTTAAAATGATTGAACCATTTCCTCTATTTAAATGATGGTAGCTATCAAAAGTAAATTCATATTGCGGTGTTCTTAAATTTAAAAAGAACAATAAGGGGGGCTGTAATGAGAAGCCCAACTCACTGACTAAACGACTTTTTATATTCATAAAGAAAATGTCTTGCTCAGATAATCTAAATTCTCTTTTCTGCACATGTAAATCGGAATACGGGCTCTAATTAAAACATAAAAACAAAAAATCGAAAATAATATATTATGAGGATTACACAGCATGGGAAAAAGAACTCCTTGTTATTAACTTCATTGATTATAAATCAGGGAAGAGCGGCAAGTTATAATCAAGCTTCCTGGCTTCCCTTCGGCTCCCCTGTAGAGTACTCCACTTGGGTGGACTCACAGTGGCCTAGCAACCTAGGACTACTTGGTTCAAATTTTTAAAAATACCAAGACCGTAATCCAGGCTTAATCCTCAGCACTGACACTGCCGGACAAGAGAAGCTACCTTGGATGCCGAGGACTCACGACCCTGAGGACTGGCCGGCGTCGAGGCCCAGGGGGTCAGGGCTGGACCTGCGGACTGGGGCTTCGGGCGGGAGGCGGCCGGAGCTCCAGCTGCCCCAACGCTCCCCACGCCCCGCGCTCGGCTCCCCTCGGGGTGCAGTTGGCGGGCGCAGAACCCGGAGAGGGCTGGCGGCGGCCGGAGTACAAAGCGAAAGCAAGCCGAAAGCCGCGGAACAGGATCCAGCCCCGGAGCCCTGGGGGGGCGTTACCGTGGAGACGGGACGCTGAGGGGGCGGGCCCGGGCGTGGGCGGGGCCTCGGGCGCTGGGGCGGCGCCCACACAGTCCGTGCGCGGAGAGCGAGGGCTGAAGAATTAAAGACAGAAAAAACAGAAGTACCCAGATCCCGGGCAGTTTGTTGCACCTTAGTGGTCAAGGGCGTGAACCTGCGCTTCCTTAAATAAAGACGGTTTAAAGGGGCAGTAGGAAGAAGTAGGAGGAGCCAAGTCAGGGAACGGAATAAATGGGTTAATGGAGTTCCTAGAAAAGTACCAAGTTTTAAGAAGTAAAAAACAATCCAGCTTTATTTAGTGTCCTGTTATTCAAAGGAAGTCGGTAACAATATTCCAAGATGCCAGAAAAAAACTACCCACTGAAACAGCATTGGAAAAACAAGCAGCACATTGACATTTTCAACAGCAATTTCAACATTTTAAACAGTAATTTTCTCAGATTGTAAACAAATGTGCATAATTCACTTTGTGAAGGGTAGTTCTAGATTGCTTGGAAATGCAACACAAGAATTCAGGAGTACATAAGCCAATGTG